AGGATGGATCTCCTAGTCCACGCGATCTACACTCTAGACGTGTCGGTGGAGCGCCACCGGGTTTAAAAATCCTCTTTCCCCGCTCTCCCCAAAGGTCTGAGGTACACTGCTCCTAAACCTAGAGGCTCAGGCTCAAGGCCTGCCAGCAGTCGCCCAAGCGCTCTGCCGTTGCCATGGCGAAGGGCCCCGCCTCGTGACGTCCGGCCCGGCGAGGTGAAGGGGTCACGTGCCCCGCGCTGCGCGTGCCGCAATCTCTCTGCGCCCGGGCACGGCGGGGCTGAGAAAATTAAGAGAAAGCGGGCGGCTGTCGGCTGCGGCCTCCACCGGGACTTGCTCCAGGCGGAAGAGGTAAGGCGGCCCGGAGGGGCCCGGAGGACGGCGGGGAAAGCGGGGCGGCGGACGGGCGCGGGGAAGAATCACGGGAGAAGGGCGGCGGGAGCTGAGCGGGAAAGCGTTCCCTCGAGGTACGCATGCGCGATGCCGGGAGAGCGAGCTGCCAGGCTGTGGCGCGCATGCGCGCTGGTCCGGGATATATTTTTTTTTAATCCGCGCTTGGGCCGTCTTCAGCTTCGCTCTGATGGACTCGGCGCTCCCTGCGTCTCTCGCGCAGGCGCGCCGGCGCCGCCCGTCGCTCTGCGTCTCGGAAGCGGTCGGCGAAGGGGCGGGGATGCGCCCGCCTTCCTCCTGCTGCCTTTCCCCAACCTGGCGCCCTCAAGAGGCGAGGGGAGCAGCTCCCACCCTCCACAGCCTGCCTGCTAGCTGGGGTGAGGGTTGCAACCCAGCTCCTGGAAAGGGGGCGAGGCTGGGGGAGGCACTTCATTATGGGGGTCTTCGTGCCAGAACGGTGGAGTTGCACTGCGTGCGTGTTGGAGGGAGGGGAGGCAACAGCGCTGGGGCGGCCCACGGGGCCATTGCATTAACCAAGCCTAGTTCTTCATAGAAAGAATAGGTCCTCCCCTTAGGAACGTTTGGTTCCCCCACCCTCCCAGATCAGGGAGCTTTGGGGATACACTTGCCTGACATGATGCTCTGCTAATTGGACAGGGAGGGGTGGAAAAAGGGCAAAGAAATAGCTGCAAAATAAAGCAAGTTCCTAGTCCTCATGGATGCTGATACAGTTATGGTGCGTCCAGAACACAGGCGGCTTCTCAGTGGATAAACTGGTCTTTTCCCCCCTACGACGAGGCAGACCAACCAATGCAGATTAGCCATTGCGATGCGCTTGGCTCGGGCTCAGCAGGGCTGTGTGAATTTCAGGGCTGGCAAACGCTGATGGATGGCGCAGTAGCGTGAGACCAGGTGAAGCTGCCGTAACTAAAGATGAAAAAGCCAGGAGTTTTGCCTAAAAGATCCCTTCGGGGAGATGGATAATAATCGATAACAGATCATAACAGCAAGACACTAAGGATCGCCCATCCCCGCCTTGCCGCCGGCAAGTTCGCAAATAATTTTTTTTTTATTTAATTCCCCCTTAAAAAAAAAAAGTCTAACCCTCGTGTTGGGTCGTGTGAACGGCAGCATCGAAGTGGAAGCTTGGAAAAGAGTTTTCCATAGGCTTATTCCTATGGCGTTTACAGCAAGGCTTCAATTCTATAAGCAGGAGTCGAAATCCCGGATGCTGCTTTAAAAAAGGAGGGAGATCAGCTTTGCTAAATCAGTCTGTGGGTTGCCCAAGAAGATATAAACGTCTTTTTTAGACTTAGCTGCCCCCTGAATTCGGGAGCTCGAGGCGGCGTCTGCCACGCCCCCTGCTATTTTTCCCAACAACAGCCCTGTGAGGTCGGTTGGGCTGCGCCACGCCGGCTTCTCCCACACCCCCCTACATCTTATGGAGGATGATGGTGTGTGGGGCCCCGGGCGGCGGCTTCAGCCATGCATGCACACGGCTGTTCTCGCTTCCCTGCGACGCTTTTCGAAAAGGGAAGTCCTAGAAAAGGGGTTATTTAAGGAGCGCAGGGCTGCAGGTCCTGCCTGGGCTACAGTCCCCACCCAGCACGGGAGTGGGCTGCCTGTGGATGATGGAGACTGTAGTCCAGCGGCGTCCGACCCGCAGGCGGGAGGAAGCCGGTGCCTCCATGTAGATCCAGCCTGAAAACGCCATTGCGTCTCTCCTGGACGGAGAAGACCGCTCTGCCCTCTCCAAAGATGGCGCCGCCGGGCTCGCCAGGGTTCGGGGAGGCCGCTCGTCGCGCTCCCGGGGCGTCATCACGGCTCGCCGCCGCCGATCCCGCACAATAGAGGCGGCTTCCTTCGGCGGCGCCAGTCAAACTGGTGAAGGGGGAGGGAGGTAAGGCTGAGCCCGGCGCGGCTCGGGGGGAGGCGGCGGGCGCACGTGCCCGCCTGGGAGTGGGCGGGAAGCAGCGGCCGCTGCCCGGGCGCCCTGGGGGCGTGTGCCCCCCTCTGCCAGGCCTGCGGCGGCTCTGCTGCTGGGCGGCGATGCAACGCCACGCCGTGCAACGAGGAAAAGGACGCGGTCTAGGCGCCTGATCCTGCCCGGGCTTGTGTTTTTTGTGTGTTTCCCCCCGATGGAACCTCCAGCTCCAGCAGCAGACTATCTGTCGATGGAGGAAGGAGGCTTCCCTCTCCCCCCCCCGAAAAAAACGGGCAGGAGTGTGGTTAGCGACACTGCCTGGCAAAGAAGACAAGTTCCTGCCTCCCCTAGCAATGGTACAAGGGGAGGGGCAGAATGTGTTTTCTTCTGAACGTGGATTGATCTGCCTCATCGCTGATGGTCCCGGTGCCCTTTTCGCCTCTGGCCTCCCGAGCTCCTGCTCCTGGCACCCTGCCGAGGTTTGGCCTTGTTAGAAAAAGGTCGCTGCGCGCTGGGGGGCCCGTTGGAGCGATGCTGGCCGTGTCTGACTGTCCCCCCCTCCCACCTTGAGCATCTTCCTTCTCTTCCCTGTCATCGCCTGCCTCTGCCCTCTGGGGCTCAGGAAAGCAGCACTGCCCCTTTTTCCTTTGAATGCCACCCTCTGCTTATACCTCCCCAGAAAAGCAAAATGTTGCAACACAGCCAGGAATGCCTTGAATGCTGTAGACTTACTTTGGGTTCTCTGTGCTTTGTTTATGGCTATCTTTTCTGCAGGCCTGATTCCCAATAGTTAGCCCATGTTAAGGTCCTTTTGCGGAAGGAATGAAGTTTTCTTTTTATTCCTCCTCCCTTCTTCCTAAGTGGCCCACCAGCCCTGCAGATCTTTGTATCACCAGGACTCCTTGCAAAGCCACCTTTGTTCTGGAGCCTCCTGTTGCTAGTAACACGTTGGAAGCCCTGCCCCATCTTGCTCAAACCAAATACTCCAGCCTTCTGCCTATTACAGCACCAACTAACTACCTGTGGGAAGCCCACAAGTGGCCTTTATTTTAGGTTAGCTCCTAGCAACTAGTTTTTCAAGGTAGAGAGCCTCTACACCTGGAGGTTCCATTAAGCAAGTGTGAACTGGATTGGAAACAACTTGAAGTTGATTATATTGTCGGATGGTCTCTATATCATTTCTTTCTTACAGTTGCCACACATGCCAAATAAATAAGACGAGATGCTTCTTGTCTCAATTTCTCCACAGTATTCTCAACTTTGAAGAGTTATTTTATGTTGTCTTGTAAGCTGTTAGTGTTACTCTGGATGAATTTTCCCTAGATCAAGGAAGACTCCCTCCTAAAAGAGGAAGATCTTTTTCCTTTGATAAGAAAATGACAACTTTGGTCTTCGCAATGACTCCAAGATGCCAAAATGTGTTTTGGGAAGTGCCCTGAATAACCGGCCTGTTTCTTCCCTCCCGGTTAGAGTTACCCCACTTGAACCTTGAAACAAGGCACCGTGCATGAACTGAACTGTAATGAAATTTCATCTCCCCAGCTCAAGTAACTGAGCAGTTTGGGCCAAGCACAAAAGCTGTTCTCGATCGGCCGTGTTAGGCAGGTGCAGTGAACTGTAGCTGGGAGGTTTCTGAGTGTGTTTCTCTGGGTGTCTGTCTGTGTGCGCGAGGCTGGAGGTGAGAGAGAAAAGAAACAAGCAGGGTTGTTCCTTCTCTTGCATCTTGCAAACAGACTTACGAAAGTCACCAGATAGTAGATGCCTTTTGCATGTAGTGGTTAAGTCACCAGGCCAGCCCTAGGAAGAAAGAAGGGACACCCTTCTAAAAGTGCTGGTAAGAAAACTGCAGGGACTTGCCCAGACTAACTCGAAGCCCCCCCCCCAAAAATGCCTTTTGCATTCTATATGAAAAACCTGTAAATGCATGCATGCCGAAACAAAATTGATTTGATGGGCCAGTGCTAATCATTGTGATCATCTTCTTGCCGGTTAAATTGGGTGGCCAAGCTAAGTGGGTATTCCCCCTTCATTCATTTTTTTACAGAAAATCCAGTCTGGTTTCATGGATCATTTGGATCAGTTCAGTGAGGCCCTTGGCATAATTCAGTGTT